CAAACAGTTTCTTTAGAAACTATCAGCCTCTAAAGGAAATGACTCAGAACTGTAACACTGATATATTTTGTCCAGATGAGAAACGTTTTAAGTGCTGATAGGTCTCTTCATCCTGTTGATTTCATTCGTTCTTTGGTTCTTTAGCTCTATTCGACCTTTGGAAGTGACTCTGAACTGCAACGATGGTGTTGTACTAATCAGATAGAAAAAATATGTTGCTAAACACATGGAGAAAATATTGCAAGAATAGCCAGCACTAAAATGCTCTTTGAAACGTTCTTTTCAGTTAATGGTGGCTGGACATCGTGGGGAGACTGGGATCAATGCAGTACCCCTTGTGGAGGTGGAACACAAAAACGCTCTCGCTCATGTACCAATCCACCCGTGGCCCATGGTGGTAAAACCTGTGCGGGTCCTAAGGAAATGACTCGCATTTGCAACGATGATGTATGGTGTCCGGGTGAGGAACGATCTGTCACAAGATTTTCTCATCCTCACTAGGCTTTTAGTATGAATCTTTGAGTTAAGGTGCAATGAGAGACGATGTTAAAGCAAGTTGTGAGCCCGTCTTTTCTATCCATGTTAACTTTTTATGTTAGCTCTAGTCACCAGCTTTTATTAAAAATGTATGATTTGTCTCTAGTAAATGGCGGATGGACTTCGTGGAGTGATTGGAGGAAATGCAGCGTGACTTGTGGTGGTGGAACACAAACACGTTCTCGCTCATGCAATAATCCACCTGTAGCCCATGGTGGTAAGAATTGTTCGGGCCCAAACGAAATGACTCAGAACTGCAACGATGATATTTTGTGTCCAGGTGAGCTTTTTCAGGCTCCATAGCAACATACTAGCCCCTATGTCAATAGTAGAGTAAGACATACTGGAAAATGGCAATAACTACAATGTTTTTCGGTTAAAAAACAATTTTCTTTCGTAAATGGTGGATGGGGAGCATGGAACATATGTAGTGTGACTTGTGGAGGTGGAACAAAAATGCGTTCCCACTCATGCACTAATCCTCCTCAGGCCCATGGTGGTAAAACGTGTGTGGGTCCGAGGAAAATGACTCAGAACTGCAACAGCGACGTCTTGTGTTCAGGTAAACGGTTTTAGGCTTAACAATAACGTAAACGCCCCTTTTCATTTGTAGAAATAAATCGATCCTAAAGTCATCTTCCAGTCACCCTTTATTGAACGAACTGATCGATCTGGACTGAGAAGTACGTTATGTTGTATTCAATGTAGAAATGAAAAGCGTGAATTGGAGATAATCGCCTATATCTACAACTAAAGGTACACGTTTGAGGAGGTAACCATAAGGATACTTGCAGCAAGCACATTTATAACCAAGTAATGGTAGGGATAAGAAAAACGAACGCTCTCAGGTCTGGTTCTGACCGACGAAGAACGTAACTAGGAAATCTCAACACTAATGGTTTCTCTCATTTTAGTTGATGGTGGCTGGTCTGGGTGGGGAAACTGGGGTCGGTGTGACAAGAGCTGCTTTAAAACAAGAATAAGGAAGTGCAACAGGCCCTCTCCATCCAACAATGGCAAGCAATGCCCCGGTCCACCCACAGAGAGGCTCAGATGTTCTTTTGATGAATGTCTGGGTGAGTAATTGTACTTTTTATCACAACAGCTTCCACTCTTCAGCTAATCAATTCATGAATTAATTGTTGCAATTCCGGTTAACTCCACCACGAAAGACGAATAGATATAATTTTGGAGACTCGTAGAAAAGAAGGATACTATGATATTCTAATAGAATACAATTCTTTTTTTGGGTAAGACATTCAAAGCTACTAGGAATCATCACTGAGTTTGCAAGCGAGAGTCCCACAATGTCAACCTACCAATAAAAACATTTATTACACCATCGACTTAGCAAAAGAAGAAATTATACAACTAATCAGTTTGAACTCCAGAAGTTCTATCTAATTCACTCATACCGCTCTGAATACTAGTTTTGGACGATTAAGATTCATATCGTCGCTAAGGTAGACAATTTTTCTCTGGGACCGGTGCACAGTAAGTAGAGACGTAAGTAGAGAGGGAGGGGAGTTTGTGTTATGCCAAGAGGTAAACGGTGCATCGTGTAGTCTGTGCTTTGATAAGAAGTAGTCAATAAAGGGACTGTTGTCGATTACAGTGGCGCACGTTTCAAAACCTTCAATGTCAAGTAACACTGTTTTCGACTTCTGCTCAGTTTGTCGAAATATCAGTCATATTCATGGACCAAAGTCCTTTCAGAATTATCTTCACCTGGACCTCCAGACTGGAGGTCGACTGTTACCCCCGGAAACAAACTATCCACGCAAACAATTCATTCAATTTACTGTTAATTTAAATATACCCATACTCGCTACCTCCGCTGAAGACAGTTTACGTCGTCAACACCTTACAAACCTTGATTTTGCTAAGCTTTTGGACAGTTTACCCCTTAAGAAGTACTCTTGTGTTTAAGAGAAGAATACGGTGAAAGGCGTTCATCATGTTCTCGCTCATTTTTTTTCTTTGTGCAGTAATCGGTATGTAGACTTCATTGTGTAATCTTCAGATTGTTTGCGTTTTCGGATTTCTCGTCCTACAGATCTTTGATAGTTACTCAGTGCCTCAAATTTTAATAAGAATGTTGTTTACTGACAACACGAATGAAATTTCTCTGTTGAACGGACAAGTGATGAAGATGGCTGACTGATCCAGCTTTCCAACAGCCAACACGATTGCGATCAAACATCTCGATGCAAGGGAATTTGAACGTGGTCACGGAGGAATTTGAAAATCAAACTAAATCGAGTGAGGGTTTTGTCTCAGTTGAGAGCTTCCGATGGATTTGCTCCTCACTTACCCCACGAAACCAAGTTGAAAAACATCTGCTTTTTGCATTTCGATCGTGTGACTGGTTGTCATCATGATCTGGGTGAGCTTAACAATTGGCAGGAGAGAGAGAGAGAACAAGCTTACTCAGTGAGTTTCATTAGTTAGCATTTAACAAATGAAGTAGCTGTCAAAGGATTAACCCTAATTTGAACAATGAAGTGCGTGAAACCCAGAACTAGAAATTCGTTATCTTATCACTAGAGGTTACAGAAGCCATGTGCGATACAAGAAATTTCTTTTGTTATATACATACCGAGATTTACGCGCCAAAGAGCATCGAGATAAAAAGAGTCTCTTCGCGCTAGAGGAGCCAGCTGATTGGTAATGCGGTTTTTTTTCACTAGTGAAAAACGACGTATCGACGCTGATTGGCTATAGTTTCACTAGTGAACAAAACCGTGTCGCTCGCTCGCCGCTCCTCTTGTCTGACAAATAGCACATTTCTAAGAGCTTAGGCGCATTTTTCTTTAGAAAGATGACTTCAAATCAGACTAACCGTTTTCAGAGCCTAGATTCATCAGTAGAAGAGTTTATAGACGGACAGGAAAATGAAAACACCAAGAAAAAGACCAAACACGATGTCGCTCTGTTCCACGAATTTCTTGTTTTGAAAGGCGGAACAAAAAAAACAAAAATTTAAGTCGCGGGTTTTCACTTCTTTATTTCAAATTTTGAACTTCCATAGAACTATTTCGACATATTTTCAGGATGTCTTAATTTATTCTACCTAGTTCTACCTTTTAACGGCATTTTCGCTTGATAATATTTAGAAGTAAAAAAGTATTTTACAAGGAAGCCATTTCTGTGCAACTCCCGAACGGCGGCTTGACCGCGCGTTGCTTTCCTTTGAAAGAAAACAAAGATATCTTTATCTCTGAGTTCTGTTCGCTTATGAATCTCGATATGTATATAATAAATAAGTTATTTCACGGTTAGTTCGCTTGTACGATTTTTATTCACTCGTTGTGTAAATTTACACAACTTTGAATAAAAATCGTACGCGCTCACCAACCTTGAAATAACCTATAAAAAAAGAAAAAAAAAATATATATATATATATATGCATTTTAGGAGGTAATGGAGGTGGTGGAAAAGGCCTGAGATTGAACCCTGACTTCAGAGACGAAGGCTCAGGAGACGGTTCTCTAGTAAGAATAGCGGAATGGACGATTTGGAGTGAATGGAGCGCGTGCTCTTCCACCTGCGGACGCAGCTTGAAATTTAGATACCGCACTTGCACTACTCGGCAACCTACCAACTGCCAGGGAGTTAGCCTGGAGACTAAATCCTGTCAAGTACCGATGTGTGATGGCATTGTACCGACATAACTTACTAAACATTTCTATTTTCAAGGCTCTGGAAGATAGTCATTAGTCAGCTACTTGTGATCGAAGATGGAGATGTAGACAAGATCAATTCATTAGACAAAGTTTACTTATGTTACTTTATTTTTTTTCTTCCTTTTTTTGATTCATACTTGAACTTGAACTTTGAACTTGAACTTTATTTTTATTTAGACACGGTAAATCTATCAGATAAAATGATAATATTATTACAATCCATTATTACAGTTACAATCTATTTTAATCTAGATAAACATGATCTAAAATTTAAAAGTGAAATAGAAAAAAATAAAGAAATTCTGCTTTACATAGATGCCGTGTGTGTTTTGTCGATTCAGACGAAGAAATTGCGACAACCATTTCGGAAGGATTGAAGTGATTTTGCTTGCCGCAATTCAGGGGACAAGCTATTCCAGATAACCGCACCGTTATAGCTAAAGCTATTTTTCAGGAAATTGGTGCGGGGCAATGGAACAGCTAGTTTGTTTTCAGAGTTCCTTAGATTATATGGAGGATCATATTTAGTGAAAAGAGAACCAAGATAGTCGGGCGCAAGACCATGTATAGATTTATAGACCATGGTGGCCACTTGTATTTGTCGCTGAGTATCTAACCGTCTCCAGTTAAGTTGCACAAAAAGAGGATCAGCGCTTGTGTCATAACTGGAGAAGGTCAGAATACGGGCAGCCCGGTTTTGCAACTTTTGGAGCTTATTCGAAAGACCCTTGTTACAATGCCCCCAGACCTCGCTGCAGTAATTAAAGTACGGTTGAACTAAGACATTGAAAACGGACTCAAGCGTGGTTCGATTAACAAAAGGCCTACAACGTTTAATTGCTCCAATGCCCGATGCGATTTTCTTGGCTATTTTTTCAATGTGCATATTCCATGAAAGGTTTACATTACGAACGACAGTTTACAGGAAACCGACACACACCGACAGATTACTAGACGAGTCATCCTACAACCCTACATCACACAAAGCCACAACTATCAGAACTCTAACACGACGCGCACAACTAGTATGTGACTCGACAGACAGCTTATCCGACGAGAACAAATACCTTCACCGTGTTTTTACGAAGAACAACTACAACAACGACTTCATCCGACGAAACACTCACCGACCCACTACCACTACCGAAACAAACGACACCGCAACCCCTACGACTACAGCAACCATACCGTACATAAAAGGCATGTCTGAAAACATCTCGCGCATCTTACTACCCTTCAATATCCGCGTCGCCCACAAACCCATCACCACACTACGTCAGTTACTAACCAACGTTAAAGACAAAGACGAACCGAGGAACAGACAGGGAACGATTTATAAGATCAATTGTTCCGACTGCCAAGCCTTCTACATCGGTGAGACTGGCAGAAACCTCACAACAAGACTGACTGAACACAGACGGGCGACGAGGAAAGGTGATGTCAGCAATCACATTGCTGAACACCATCGACTTACCAACCACAACATTGACTGGGACTCTGCGCAATGCCTAACCTACAGCACTGACTATTTTCAACGACTGACTCTGGAAAGCTGGTTTACTAACTTAGAACAGACTCCCCTAAACAGATGTCAACAACTACCCGCTCCATACAAACGACTCATTCACGACATAAACATCACAAACGACCGAAAAAGAACGACCTAACTTTACCGACAGATCGAAACAGACCAATCACGACCGACTTACGTCACTTGAGTCTTACAGCCAATAACATCACGGCAAAACCAACCGATCATTTCACACGAACTGGAATAAGAACATTCTACTGACAACAATCATTCACTTGACTCTGATGATGACTTCCGCACAGGTTGTCGAAACGTCAGTCACTACCACCGACAACAGTCCTTCTCAGGACTACACTCACCCGGACGATCAGACTACACCTTCACATGTTACCCCCGGGTTCAAACCATTTACTGCAAGCTAGTATGATGTAACAACGCAAGGAAAGAAAAGGATAACAACTAAAGTACAACAACTGAATATTCAAATGGAGCCATGTCTTGTTCTTTTCTTTGGGAAAAGAAGTAGCCAAGTTGTTTAAGTCGACCCTCGCACAAGAATCAATTTCCAGTTTCTGTCAACTTCTGTGGTCTTTCGAACAAAGTGAACAAAAGCAGGAGCCATTTCCGGGTAATGGGCTCCTGACAAAAGGCATTTTCTTAATGGTTCTCAGTACGCTTTGAAATTTTTAATAATTCAACCCTTTTGTTTGTTTTTATTATAATTTTTTTTAGCGGGGCTCCCACGCGCGCTTCGCAGAAGCAGAGCCCCATACCCATAAAATATGGTCAACCTCTTTTCGTTTGGTTGTCACGTGACTGACCGAGCGTACGTACGTACGTACGTGCCTTCAGATTGCACGGGTAGGGTAGGGGAGACTATTAAAACGAGGGGAGGGGTCTCTGGCGAGTCTTGGCAAATGCACATCTTTTATCTTATCATTAATATTACGAACTTGGGAGCTCCGCTTTTAGGCTTGGCTAAATCTATATATAATTCGTAATACTACCGACTGGTGCGAACCGAGAGATTATAAATTGATTATAAACTCTTCTACAAACCAATTTAGGTTTGGAAAGTTCAACCCTTAAAATTTTCATGGCACTTTCTGATCACAAAAAATAAATATCAAACACCACATCCAAACCCCCTGCACGACTTGCGCGTGGATAAATTTCATGACGTCACACTATATTGTTAGAAAATGAGTCATTCCCATAGAGAAAACTGAAAATGGTTGCGTCTCACTTCAATGTGCTTTGGCATAAGATTGTGTTATCCTCGTCCGTTTGGTTTGCTTTAGAGGTGGTTGCCAAGAAACCTTGGCAATGGAGTGTATACACTTCGCTTGTGTTGTCAAGTTTTCTTCCGGTTATCATGCTGTTAACGTTTACATTGGGACCAATGTTGTCTAGTTTTATCGCCCTCCTCGTAATTCAATGTGGATTATTAACACTCGCTATAGCGTCCTTCCTTTCGGCAATCGTAGCGCTTGTTCCTGTGGCTATTGCAATTGCAATTTTAATCTTTGTAACATACAAAACCGTATCAGTCGCTAAGTGTATGATACACTGGCTTTTTATCTCACCAAAACTTATACTTCAGCGAATCAAACAATATTTAACAAAGGCATATGAAAACTGTGGATTGTTAACCAGGATGAAGAAAAAAGGAGCAGTCTATGACGTCAAGTTAAGGAAAGCCCAGAGAATAGGAGAGCGATCTTCAGCTCAAAACTCAGATTCTGCAACGAGAAGACGAACTCACACACATGCGTTTCCCCGCTATACTTATGTATATGAGACGTGTAAGGGATGGATAACTTGTCTGAACGGCGGGGAAACAAGCTGTGAAAAGGTATCCCACACTTGCAGATGCAATTTTGATTCTTCAGGTTTAGGAGAAAAGTATCAGCTAGGCTGTGAATTTTACTCTGGGGTGTGGTCAGCAAGCAATTCATCGTCTGAGGAAGACACTATAAAATTTACCTCGGGATCTGGCTCTGAATCTTACCACACAGCAGATGAGTGGCTTGTGGAAGATTCTTCTGGTAACGTAATCCCGGATTACAGAGACAAAGAAGCAAAGTTGTATGAAGCACTTTTGAAAATGGACTTTTGCTCAAGACTCGAGAGCTGCATTTTGATTGGGCGCAATTAAGGCTCCAGACAGGCCAACTTTAGTTGTGGTGTCTATATTTTCAATTGACCGGACATCAGCTTTACAACGGAAGTTATCAAAGGCGAAACACTTTTTCTTATTATAAATTGCACAAGTTCCCCTCCATTTTCTGGTTAATCAATTCAACTTGAATCCGTTGGGGGAAATTTATTTCCATTGTTGTACTAAATATGTGTAATTGAGCTGACCGACTTTGTATCTTTTCCTTTATTTTTACCAGACAATAGCTTTCTGTTCAGCCAAAAATCTCAGAATCATGCTACATTCCTAACTACATAGTATGTTAATCTTGGAAAGCTTTGAACACCGAAGTTTTCCTTAAGCCAGCGTAGGCGTATGTCCAAGAGCATAGTGTGGGGTGATACAGCAAGGGAAGTCAGATCTGCTGGAAGTTAATAAAAACTAGTTACAATTGATAAGATCACTGACCATCTTATCTTTAGACGCCTTCTTTCGATGTTCCAGCCAAACGATCAACTTTGATTTATTGAACTGAATAGAAATGATTAAAAGGAGTAGCCATTTTCACGTCGCAAAACTTCATTTTCTTAAAGGCCTCATCACTCATTAGTTATTACGTTACTACGTGGCATGCAGAGCAATTTCAATTTCATTTTTCAACCTTACCGGGGCCAAGTTCAACTTCATTTACTTTCACTCTGATTAGAATTGTGTTTCAAAGGGTGAACATTCTAACTAGGGGCCAGATACGCAACAGAAATCAGAAAATGTTTGCAACTCAAAATCTTTACCAAATGTGCGAAACCATCATCTGCACAGTGCAGCGAAACAAACAGCGATCGCTTATATGCGGGTGCTTCACTAGCTCTAAGGATTGACACAGCCTCAGAACTGACATTCTGAGGTGAAGTCTATCACCGACATGGAAGCTATCACGTTACTAAGAAGCATTTAAAAGGACGGCCTTCATAAGTTAATTTAAGGTAAATTTGAGGGCAGATTTTGACCAGTCCCAAGGTAATCCATTGAGAGGGTTGGAAAACATTTGTGAAAAAAGAACTGAGCTTTGTTCAAACCACAGGAAGCAAGCCTTGCTTCCCAGAGATCAGGCAGCCCTGACACAATTTTTCCATTGCTTTATGGGTACTCGAGTGACTAATTTTGCTGAGGAGGAGGGACTTGTAATACCTTAATTTGAAGAGAATTCTAGAAAGTTAAGGTCACTCTTTGACTTCTCAAAACGCAGATCTGTAATAATTTCACACCATACTCTTTGAAGGTGGGGTTTCATATTGTATGGTTTCTAGAGCATACTTCCTCAAATAAATTAACTAAGGCCTTCCTAACCTAAAATAAAAACTGTCTGCAGAAAATACAATAGAAAAAGATTTGCAATGAAACTCTAAACAAAAGATTTACATGCCTTTCCCTTTAAAAACACTGATCTGTCAATAGCTAATATGAAACATGTTCTGGATGATGGCTCCTTAATCAGGTAATTGCTGACTTCAAGTAAGATTTCTAAAAGAAACCATGCATAACAATGAATTTGAAACACACAGAGACTACAATCCATTTAACTGCTTGACATTTTATTGAAATGGGTTGACTACTTCAGAGGAATAAAGCGAGATGAGTGAGTGGCTCCAATACCAGGTCGACCATGCTTCACAGGCTTGTATGTGATTGAGAACTCTCCAAGATAATGGCCAACCATTTCTGGCTGTTAATAAAAAAAAAAAAATCAAAACACAACAAAAGCCATGTTACAATAAGAGTCTGGAGAGGAATCATATGGCAACAATCAATTTTATGTTCCTGAACTCCCAATGTTAAAAACATGGTTCACAGAAACTTCTTGCATGGATGTAGGGCTCAATCTGTAGATCTTAGCTACAGATTGATGTTCTGTCTGATGAAGGGCTAATGCTCAAAACTTCAGCTTAAAAACTCTCTACAGTGGCCAAATTACATTAACAACTCTATTTCTAAATCAAATTATTTTGCAACAGTTTTTGTTCCAAGAGTTTGTTTTCAAATACAACAAATGAAAGATGACAAAAGTAAAAACAAAGGAGCAGTTAGTAAATAGTCAGGAGCCAGTTTTGTTGGCTCAGTTGAGTCGTAGTCAGAAATGCAAGCAAGCAGGTTGAGTGTGTTGCTTTAAGTTTATGACAAAAAAAAAAAAAGAAATTTCATTTCATTTGACTGAAAAAGAAACTGCTACACAGCATGAGGTCACTTCAATTACTACAAAAATATGACACCTTTTGAGAATCAAAACAAGTCTGAACCACAAAACCCACCCAACATCATGCTCAAAATTTGGGGTACTACCCTTTTCTTGAACCCTCTTAGGCTAACCCATAATTGGAAATCTTACCTATTATTTTTCAACTCTCCCTGCTATCAGTTTTAATGGTGCAGTAAATAAAAAAAGCTTGCCTTAGATGATAAATAAATAGAAACATTGAACTGCTTGATGTTTAGGTTGTAATTTTTTTGTACGGCCATACTCACTTAATAAACACGAGTTGAAATTAGGGATATTTTTGTCATTTTTCATACAATAACAATAATAACTTTTATTTATATAGTGCTCATATCCTGAGCTCATGGCGCTTTACATTTACTTTACCAGACTGCTCAGCAGTTTACAATAAAATGAAGGCAAATCTAACAGATGCCCCCTTCCCCCAATTCCCAGCAAACAGGCCAGACCACATCACAGTAATCTCGAGTGGGTTCTTCAACGTCCCCTGCCTAACCAAATTAACTAATTAATAGATGCAGGAGATGGGACCTCTGGTTGATTAATCCTTATCTGAGAAGACTAGAATTTCTATCCATTTCTTGATGTTATAGAAAGGTAGCACATTCTCCTCAGTTATTTTAAGACCCCGAGTGTTGGTCCGGCCGGGGCTTGAACCCTCGACCTCCCGCACAACAGTCCGGCGCTCAACCAATTGAGCTAACCGGGAGTCGGTTATGCAAGACTAAGTAACCAAAAACAGTCTCTGGTGTGTTAAAGATGATGGAGTGAAAGCTATCAGTTCCACTGAGAGGGGACCTTTACAGGCCAGGAAAAATTACAGATTCTTGAACTTTTTTGTCATAAACTTAGAGCAACATGCTCAGCATGCATTCAATTCTGACCACAACTCAACAGAGCCAAGAAAACTGGTCCCCCGACCATTTACTAACGGTTCCTTCATTTTTCCTATGTCATTTCTCATTTGTGAGACCAAGTAACCAAATGCAAGTTCTAGTGTGTTATAGATGGCTAGGTGAAAGCTAGCAGTCTTATCAAGATGATCTTAGGAGGCTAGAAAAGTAAAAGATTCTTGAATTTTTCATCATAAACTTAGAGCAAACATGCATTTAAGAAAAGGCAAGGCCCTGATGATCAGATGGTAACTTGCTGGTTGCAAATTTCACTATTGGTGTTCAATTTTATTATCTTGCACATTAGAGAAAGTATATCATCAGATAATTAAAAGCAACATCATTACAAAGCTTTCTTCATGATGACCAAAAATAGCACTGGTGGTGAAACCCTCCAGATTCCCAAAAAAGTTTTTTTCTTTTTTCTGAACTGCTTTTAGAACAAGTTTTCAATCAGTTTTTCATATATTTTAACCAAACTAATTCTGTGTTCTTTGACACAAGGCAGGCTGGGAGCAGAGGGATATTACAAAATTAAAGTTGATGCTGTGATAATCAACTGGCCACGTTCTTAACGCATGGTCAAACAAACCAAGGGTTAGCCATCCTTTTTTTTTTTTTTAGTTTTGTAGCTTTGCCAGCAGTTGTAAGTATTTTAACGGCAGAATACCCTGCCACTCATTTACACGTCAATGAATAAGAATAGCCTCTATTGTGAAGAGCAAAGATAACACAATAGAGGCTATTCTTATTCAATGACACGTAAATGAGTAGCAGGGTATTCTGCAGTTTAGCCAATGAAATGGAGGACAAGTAAAATTTTTAATCCTGGATGTTTTGAACAACCAGGTTCTCAAAAATTTTTACAAAGACAATCATTTGCCTCGGGCTTTGTAAATAAGGTTGAATAATAATAAGGTTGCCCATATCTCTACAGAGATGATGCTGTAGTTTAGTTGTATGAATAGTTCAAATTATGTTACCTTCAACATCTGTTGTAAGCATAAAAAAAAAATACAAAATGATACATGCAATTATGGTAAATTTTTTTCTCTCTATCGCCCGCCTTTAGACAAAACTTAAAAACAGATTTTAATTTAAGCCAACCTTAATTTCCACTTGATTGAAGGTTTTCCCGTTGTAGACACCCACCATGCTACCGATCATTTCAGGAAGAATGATCATGTTCCTAAGATGTGTCTTTACAACCTCAGGTTTCTCCATTGGGGCAGCCTCTTTCTTCGCTTTTCTCAACCGCTTCATGAGGTGAACTGGTTTCCTCTTAAGTCCACGTGAAAATCGTCGCCTAGCCCGGCAGTGAACCAGTTCCATAAGGTGGTCATGAGATAAGTCGAGAAGCTGATCGAGGTCGACACCGCGAAAGGTGAACTTGCGAAAAGTCCTCTTCTTCTTTGGCTGTTCTTGTTCAGCCTACAACAATCAAGCACATCCCGTTCGTTATCGGCAAGTTTTGCGATAGAAATCTCTCTTACCATAAAAATACACCATTCAATGGTAGAATAAGCCCTCGCCAAACTGAAAAAGAAAATAGGTTAGGACGATGCAAGAGGATAAAGTTGGGAATAACTGACCATGTTTCTTCAGGAGTTAAAGCGAACGAAAAAGGACGATAGTAGAATAGGACCCAACTCTTCACGGTAAAACTGACAGAGAGCCTCCAGTATTTTCGTACAGCAGCAACTGAAAGTCACGAAGTTAACCCGAATTGGAGTTTATGGCCGAAGAAGCGGAGATTCACGAAGTTAACCCGAATTGGAGTTGCAGTCACGAAGTTAACCCGAATTACATGCACGCATACACGCAAGCATACACCAGGGCAATGGCATTGTGGCTTGAGCCTCGTTGCGAAGCACTAGCCACAAAAACTAGAAAATTTACAGAGAATTAACGGTATGTGGTTTATTGAACCTCTGGGGTCGTCTAGGTCATTAACTAACAAATGACTTAAGTGATGTTCGCCATTAATGTCTTTCCTATCGAACAGTTCTAAGAAGAAACTGTATGGTCAAACAACAAACATATGAAATACATATATATGAACTGCGGTTATGAAACGTATATGTGCACGATCCTTCGCAGTAAAGCACTATTTAAGCAATAGTGAAAATCAGACCTGAAAAAAATTCAGGCCTGTACGGGATTCGAACCACTGACCTCTGCGATACTAGTGCAGCGCTCTACCAATTGAGCTAACAAGCCAACTGGGAGCAGGCCATCAAATTAATTCGACATAAACCCGTAGATGATAAATCAAACAACAAACATATGAAATACATATATATGAACTGCGGTTATGAAACGTATATGTGCACGATCCTTCGCAGTAAAGCACTATTTAAGCAATAGTGAAAATCAGACCTGAAAAAAATTCAGGCCTGTACGGGATTCGAACCACTGACCTCTGCGATACTAGTGCAGCGCTCTACCAATTGAGCTAACAAGCCAACTGGGAGCAGGCCATCAAATTAATTCGACATAAACCCGTAGATGATAATAACCCACAGATGATAATAACCCGCAATAGATGATGATAACCCGCAGTTCATATATGTATTTCATATGTTTGTTGTTTGATTTATCATCTACGGGTTTATGTCGAATTAATTTGATGGCCTGCTCCCAGTTGGCTTGTTAGCTCAATTGGTAGAGCGCTGCACTAGTATCGCAGAGGTCAGTGGTTCGAATCCCGTACAGGCCTGAATTTTTTTCAGGTCTGATTTTCACTATTGCTTAAATAGTGCTTTACTGCGAAGGATCGTGCACATATACGTAATTTGGTAATATCAACTAAGTTGAAAAATAAATTCGGCACCATAAAGAGTTAAAAAGCTGACGTTTCGAGCGTTAGCCTTTCGTCGCTCTGACTATTACCAAATTACCTTGTATATAGAGTAGACTGGTAACACCACTTGCGTTACAAAGAAAGTCGCCAAAACAGCGTTGAAACGACCGTTGGCAATAAAGCGGCTACGGTAATAAGGTAAGGAGACTTCATACGTTATATTCCTCGCTTTTATTATCCTTTTAAATTTTCCTCTATTTTTTTATAACTATTTTCCTTTTTTTTAACGGCACACGCTTACGCTTAAAATTCGATCTTAATATGTTAGGTATTCCCGTTACTGAATGACCTTTAGACCCCAAAATCACACACAGTACGCTTAGGCCGCCCGTGGAGAAAGCTACAACCATTTTATTAGAAAGTCCTCTGCTATATGTACTAGCTTTATCTGGTTGCAATTAATAAACGATTTCGAAGACTCGTCCCTTCCCATTTTTCCAAACTTTGCAGAAAGAAAAATCTTGATATGCCGATTGCAATGCAATTTAATCACAAAACATTTCCCGGTCTGGAATACAACAGAGTAAAAAGGCAGTCAAACTTTAGCGTTTCGCTGTTGTTACATATGGAAAGGCACACTTCTCGATTCGTAGTAGCGAACTCTGAAAAGTCAACATCCTTCGCCATAAAAATGTTTGACGGTAAGCACAGAAAAAAATTTTTTGATGGATGATAAATACAACAGCCCCTAGGAGTGTAGAGAAAGTTGGTCATGCATTTGTCCAGCATCATCATGTTCCTCGCAGTTTCCAAGCTTCCTCGAGCCTTGCTCTTAAGAAGTTTTTCAATCCTCGCAACAGATAATGTCCGCGAACAAATACGCAAACATAATTCGCTCCAACTGCCGGCTATCATCCGGCTGTATGAGCAACATGATCACTATTATCAAAGAGCAGTTTACTTTCTCGTTTGCTTATTAATTCGACAATATTATTTAACAAAACCTTTAAACTGCGCTGAGTTGTACCAATTTTGGCTCAGCTTCTCAAAGCCGGTTACCATAAATTAATCTTCTCAGCCGGTTGCGTTGACTTCTTGGGGTTCTGTACTATTTTCCTTCCCCTTTCCCCCACCCTCGATCCCCGACTCCCAAATCTATTTCAGGTGACTTGATTAAAGGCGAGGTTACGCTGTAAGCCTAGCGTTTTTACTGTATGTGAAATGACAACTAAGAAGTAAAATGTTTTTGTCGTCTTTTTTCGGTTCATTGCCTACAGCATCTCAAAGACAATCGCTAGCTATTTATAAGCCAGCAAGCTTGCAGTAGCTTTGAATTTTAATTACAAATGAGTGATTTTTTTTATTATTATTTTTTGCTGCTATGTGACACATGTAAAATTATCTACGTTGATGTAATTGTGACCTAGTTAAGTTTCCCTTATGTGCACGCTTCTTGCAAATGTACGCAAAGCAATCAATCTGTCCATCTAGATCTTCAAGAAAAATAAACCTCACACACTCATGTGTGGGAACAAAACAGTCCTTTATTTAGAAAATGTACATCAAAAAGAAACAAGCACATTTAAATGAATTGAGGCAAACTGTGCTTTTTTTAAAACAACTATCTTTTATTTTTTTGCTTATTTGTTATTTTTCACTTTTTATCATTTTTTTTCTTTTCACTTTCGACTTATTCAGGTAAGCACGTGCTTACCCTGCATACAGGTACCTTCGTCCCTGTCTTCGTGTTTAAAGGTTTTCTCCTCGTCATCAAACGACCTCTCGAAAATTCGAATGAGAAAGAGAAACCACTTTGATGATTCTAGATATTTCCCTTTGGGTTAATCGATAGTGCAAAACAGGTTGACTTTTTCAACCTTTGCGCTTGAAGAGATAACATAAGATTAACTGTTTGTTCAAAGTATGAACTTGAAATGTTTACTAATGGAAGATATCAGCGCTGGGAAAACAGCAAGAGATAATCAATTAGAAAGTAGAACCTTGTTCAAAATTGACGAAAAGTGACCATCACTTACAATTAATTGATCAACATGGGGGCCAACGTCAAGTTCTAATGCAGATTAGTCGTAGCATGATGTATTAGTATTGTTTGGCATAAGGCTTTACACCTGGAGAACATCTGCGCGTTAAATTACAATCCAACAAGGCTCCCCTAAATGCGGCTCAAAAAAACTGCTTGTAAAGTAAAATAGAATAGAGGTGTTATCAAAGCTCGCTCTTCCTTCGAAATGTCATGTTAGCAAGGTAACGAGGTATTTAGAAAGCGATCCTGGTATATGGGAGATAAAATGAGAGTAATTCTTATTAACAGTGACTTGCTATAAGAAGAAAACCAGACTTTAATTTGCATGTAAAGCATAAACGACCCAGGGTTCTTTATGAAATGAGATCGAGTGCACGCAGTTTCAGTTCAGATCATTTCGTATTCAAATAAGACATTTTTAGCTTTTTTCCCAGGTCGCCCTTTGTAAAGACCAAAATGCCCTTCATGTGAGGTCAGTGGAGAAAAACTTGTATTTTCTGTTACATGGAGGTCTTTTGTTTTTTAGCGCACTTGGTAGCTTCTAGATTAACTGGCCAAAATCAATTACGAAATAATGCCTCTGTTGCTCCGATTCCGTGTCTTCCTTGATTTCCCTTGGTTGCGGTAAATCTGTTAAATAGTACTACCCTAATAAATGATCTCATTTATCCCGTATGCTTAATTTTTTCCTAGATTTGTACGATGCCTCGGAGATATAACGTAACCTTTCATACAATAAAATCAAGTGATGAAGTCGCGAATTTTGAGGAGTCTTTAGACCCTTACTCTGCATTTCGGAAAGCATCCCAGGACTCCACAGTCCCTGATCAGCCTCTTTGGGGTCTGTTAGTGTGGCAAGTCGTTGGTATCTTTTTGCTTGGTCTCGTTTTGATATGTAAGTACTTTCATTTTGAGTTCTTTCACTCGTAGTGTTTCTCAAATAATGCATTTTTAAAAACCTTCGTCTTTCTTAAAAACTATTGTTTATATCTATTTAATCTTGAATAAACTGGAGCTACCGAAACCAAGCCATTTGGAAAACAACAACACATGCAGAATAATGTTGGGAAAAAAAGAAACAATTCAAAGGGTAAATCTCTAAGAATCGCCTTTAATTCAAAACTTACTTTCGTTCAATATCAATGGATACCTAAAAAAATTACCTAAAATAGCTGTTACTGTATTTTTTTTTCCTAAAATTGATCAAGGGAAAGCATAATGTAAGGAGGTTTTTATTGTAGGTGCAGTGTCTTGTTATTGCTGTGAACGTTATTCAGTAAGGATTCCAAAGATTAAGAGAGCAGAAAACTTGGCTGAACACGATCGAAAACTCTCCTTGGATGATTCGACAAGAGTACAATATGACAAAAGAAGACTGAGTGCTGATTCAGAACGGCTTCTGTAATTGCTGAGAAAAGGACTGGAACATGGAGTTACCCTCGACATTGTAGACTGAACAGTTTAGATAATTTAGTTTTTTCAAATGAGTTGATAATGTAAACTGGCCACTGTAAAGAGTTTCCAAGCGGACGTTTCGAGCGTTAGTCCTTCTTCAGAGCAAATGTAATTCATTCATTCGCTCTGATGAAGGGTAACGCTCGAAGTCAGCTTAGAAATTCTTTACGTGGCCAATTTACGTTATCAACTCATTTGATGAAACCAAATTATCTTGCTAAACTTCCCCACCGGCGCAGCACCACGGTTTCTTTAGCCGGAAAATTACCCCCTTAGAACAATTTGGAGTTTGTTCGTTTCGTGACTGGGGGTTGGTGTTGATATAAATATTGTTTCCAGACCGTTGAAGAACGGTCAAGGCCTGTTGCCGTGTTCCTCAAACAGTTGAAATGACAATCGAGGCGTTTTGTTTTATATTAAGCATCTTGTAATGGTTTATTTTTCTTGAGTAGCCTCTTAAAATCCACCAGTGAACTAAAAATTAAATAGTAAAATTTCATTGTACAACATTAACTGGCTAGAGGCTGAGGCTGTGTGGTAGGGTGAGAAATTAGCTTCAAGGGGTGCTCCAGAGTATTTGACAACTAAGCTCGTCAAGAGATCCGCCTTCTCGTCTACTTGGAAATCTCAACTTTTGAACGTACCACTCTTCCGCGCTGCTAGCGGCCAAAGGACTTTTCAATATAGAGCAACTTCTCTTGTGGAATAAGTGCGGCCTGAGCTCAAACTTAGCCCATCCATCATTTACCCCAATTAAAAAAATATATTTCATTTTCCAAAATCCTCACTCCCATAAAACACACAAATTTTCCAATGTTGCGTCCTTAAGTTGAGTTGATATTTTCTTCTCGAAGTTTGCATCCAGAGGTTGGAGATCTAGCTTTGAAGAGGTACACGAGATTGACCGGGGTGTGATCATGGTCACAGCTGGGTGCATCCTTTGTCTACAAAAGGTTTAGAAGGAAATCTGATCAGTTCAAAATTGCGAGACGGGCACTTTAACATTATATCTCATACAAGTATGAAATATCTCACGTAGTTGTGTATTGGTATTGGTTACATGTGGTTTTATCTACTCGGAGACGGACGGGCGGTGGAGGCAGATAGATAAAAGTGCCCGCTAAGTGGGGGAAAAGCAAACTTGTTGGTGTACCAGTCGCCCTCCTGTGAATAATTAGTGCTCAGTTCTCAAATGTGAACTAAACAAGTAGACTGAAGACAAACAGACTTTTGTAATTACTGCTTTAAAAGGGAACCTGGAGGATCCGCGTGTTTCAAATTTTAAAAACTATTTAGCTCGCAGCATACCATTTGTTATCTTCATAGACACAATTTGTTACCTTACACAACCACAAATTATGCCTTCCAACCGCTGATCAGTATTCATTTCAGCAACAAAATGGCGGAGTTCCAACGCCTGGGTATCCGCAAGTTCCCTAAAATTGCTACACGTCAAACAAGCGAAACAAGATATTGGAAAAAACTCAGCGTAAGAAATCAGCTTATCCTTACTCCGGGGAGAATCTGAAAGTGATGTTATTATTTTGGTGTTTTAATTTACATTTCAGTTCCCCATCATCGTCAAAGAGTACGGTACAGTTAGCCACGTGGATTTCTGTAGATCAAAGCCCCACAATTTTATCGCCACTAGCTCTTCACGAGTAAGTATAACTTTTCTGCGTAAGTACGAAACAATAAAATAATATTAAGGCATTTTGTTGTGTTCAGTTTATTAAGTAAGTTAAAGTTCAAGGGTCTTGAGGCACATGTAGTTGCAACAAGCAGTAGGAAGTGTCAGGCGTACGACAAATGACTAAGAAAGCGTAAACCAGTTCGACATAACGGGGATTCCAAGCATGCTAAAAGAAATTAACTGAAAAATGCTCTTTAAGGGAAATTCACGAGAGATCGTGTGAAGGAGGTTTTGCTGTAGGAGTGTAGCCTCATTGCGAAGTACTACTGATCAGTGGTGTCAATTTATCCAATCCGCGGGTAAACCTTATGCTTAGTGTTAACAGCTGAATGTTACATTAGCCAACTTTGTTCACTTACATTTTCTAATCATGTGAGTATATGTCTGAAATTATTTCTCTTTCAGATCCAAATTTACAGTTCCAGCTCAAACCAAGTCAACAAATCATTCTCAAATTTTAAGGAAAAAGTTTACTGTGGTAGTTTTCGTAATGATGGGAATTTGATAGTTGCTGGAAGAGAGAATGGCTCAGTGCAGGTATTACCGTGTACAAGATGTTCCCACAAGTCTGCCCCTGTTATATTTCTTAAGTCAAGTTCTAATGTAATTTAACCCTTCACTGCTTGTTTGATGTACAAAGTATGTCACACAATTTGCAGTTTGTGTGCCTGTATGACATACTCAGTATACTGAAAGTTAGAAAGTAATAGTCAAGTCCTGGAGCCTATAGATATAAAGTAACCTGGCCTCCTTAACTCAAAAGTTACTTTGGGTTGGCACAGGACTTCTCAGTGGGATTGGCAAAGGGATAAATGGCTGATAGGTAAAACTTAATGACACCATTTAGTTTAACTCACTGAGTTATATGCTAGTTGAGTAAAAGTCAATTTTAGGGTTACGATTGTATACTGGTCACATATTGCTTCCTTAGACTGACTTATGCTTAACTGGCCATGCCTTCCCGAGAAAGTTTATTTTGCTTGGAGAGGTGTCCAAGAGACAGTAAAAGAGGGCTTTCTTTCCTTCCATTGCCAGTAAATGGTTTACAAGCCCAGATTCAAGTAAATGTCAGGGATTTCAAAGGGTTACTTAAGGAACTGAAATTTTGGCTGGGTATGGCAGCCATACTAAGTACTATGTCATATTAAATATGGCATAAATATGAATTTTTATGTGAAATTTTCCTTAAAGATCATTCTTGTATTCATTCTAATTTTTTCCTATTAGAAAGGAGGAGAAAGGCTCAAACATAGAATCTCTGAACTTTCCAAAATCAAACAACCTTTGTTGTGATTTATAATGGTAATTGAACTGAGTGGAGTGCAATTTGGGCTGAAATCATATGTGTGATTTCAAAATCGAATGAGCGTGCAGTGCGAGTTTGATTTAAAATCACAAGTATGATATCAGACCAAAATTGCATGACACAAGGTTCAATTACCACTTTATTGCATCCATTTTGAAATCGCCCAAATACAGGACTTGGTCAATTTAAATATTTTACTGATACAGTACAGAGCCATTTTTTTTTTCATGTGTCAAAAACTCAGTCAAGTGTAAAATGATGCAATTTAGAGCAAAAAATGGTGCGATTTGGGAATAAATCACACCAATTAGAGCCAATCAGATTACAGGGACCACCAGTGATTTCAAAATGGATGGAATCTATTTATTTCAGGTATTTGATGTCAACAGTCGAGCTGTTTTAAGAGATTTTAAGGGGCACACTAGGTGAGGTGTAAAATATTTTATAGCTTGGCTCCCCATATTTATTGCAATATCAATGACAATTCTTGCTATAAGGTAAATGATGGTACAATGATGACAATAATAATTTTGGTGATAGTGATGATGTTGATAAGGACAATGACGATGTCTCATTTACCAAACCTGAACTTAACAAACAATTACAGCATTATAACACTTTTCTGGTGTTTTAGTTCACACCTTTGATGTTTGGTGTCACGTTGTAATTAGTACCCGCTTTTGTATTACATCATACTGTAAATATTTTATTCATCTACTTGTATGCTATATAATTACTTGCATTCAGTTAATCATTAATTGAAGATGGCATAAACATGCCAAAACAGGTCTCTCAAAAATGTTGTCTATTTCTTAGAATACAATTATCCTAATAACAAAAATGAAACTATAAGTTTTTTTGTTACTTTTGCTGATATTTCAAGACTTCCAGTGAAAAATGAAAATGAACTAAACCATTAGCACTGTTAAAATTCCTGGAATTTGTTGGTACATGAGAACTACTTATCAACTGTATCCAGATATCAGAGTTTTTACCTTTACTACCTGAAAGCATAAAAAAACGCTGATCTGTTGACTCCTTTAAACACTTATTGAAAACTTATCTTTTCAAAAATTAAGCCACCAGATTTTTTTATGTTGTACGTTGTCAAATTTATGTATAACACGTAATACTTCGTTAGTTTAGATAGAGTAGCGATAATTGCATGTATAGGATATTTATTGAAATTTTGTTAATTGTAATTGTAAAGCGCATAGAGTTCAATTTTAATGTGCTATATAAGAACTTATTATTAAATTAATAAGAAATTTAATATCTGTTGAATTGTGTCAAGTAACAGGAAAATATTTGTGACATCGAGTGAAATTTACAGGAATTGAAATTGAACCAAATAATTCTGGGTGGTTATCAGCAATCAAGTTGAACATTTGAATAGAAATTCCATAAGTGCACCCATGTATTATTTTATATTTAATACAATTTGACATTTTGGTATATAAAAGCAAATTTAAGAGACTTTCCTGCTTGAGATTCTGAGTTGTTTCATGTTTGATCTGAACAATAGTTTTTCCTTGATGTTTTTCAGCCCAGTTCAGGTTACCAAGTTTATGTTGGACAACTTGCATGTGATGTCTGGCTCTGATGATCGGTCTGTAGTGTGTTGGGATATAGCAACAGGACAGGATATAACAACATTTAAGGAACATAAGGTGAACTTGCTTGTGGCTGTTGGATTATTAATATCAAGAAACTTACAGCCAGAAGCATTCACTATTGTAGATGAAACAATGTTTGAAAGCAATTTTGAGCGTAAAATGTTTTGTCTTGCAAAATTCAAACAGTTGCAGACTGAGGTATAGTCAACAGACTTTAAATGACTGTCTATTGTAAAATTGATAGACCCCTTAGTTAGTCACAGTAACATTCCCTGGTTGTTATGCTTTGACAGGATTATGTACGATGTGGTGCTCCTAGCCAGAGAAGTGAGGATCTTTTCGTTACAGGTATTTTTTATTGTTTTTTTTAAGGATTTAGAAAATTATCAGTTGTGTGTTTGGGGAAACATAAAATCCTAGTTATCAACAGCACTTAAATAAGAAACGGCATTGTTTTTTCTTTTTCTTTTTGTCTGTGACTTGCAAGTAAATATGAAGCTGGCTTTAAATCCTGCCTAAGGAAAATAAAAGTAAATATTTTGACTCCTTTTGCACCAGCCTGTTTTGGTTGTTGATAACTCTTAGTTGCTGGTATTTTTTTTTTTATTTTATTCTTATTATTTGGGCAAAGTCTTTCTGATGGTTGATAATTACTTTATTTCATCAAAACTTATCTTCTTGTGTTTTGTTGTTGTAATATCCAGTCCATTACAATCATTAGGCAGGCATGAGCATGCCATGCAGTGGGTAGATACCAGGTTGTCAATCAAGTTAAATTTTGTGGAGCATTGTGTGTAAATAGCAGATTTTATCGGAGCAAAAATATTTGAGTTGTCATTCCTGTGAATGGTACTCAAGGGACATATTTGTTGGTAAATTAAATAATCACAGTTTAAAGGGTTTAGACCCAGACTATTTTAATATTTCATAATTGTTTGCCGTCATGTTGTCTTTGTTTGATTTGTGATAGGTGCCTATGACCACTGGCTCAAGGTTTGGGATGTGCGCAGCCAGGGTAGTGTATTATCTATGGATCACGGCTCTCCAGTTGAAAGTGTACAGATCTTTCCAACAGGTGGATTATGTGTGTCAGCTGGTGAGTGAAACTGTAAATGGGTGTGGAATGAGTTCTAGGTCAAAATTATTCCTAGTCATTTTGATTTGTTGATGTTTTTCAAAGTTATTTCAGTTATTTCTTAAGCCAAGAAAAGTACAAATTATTAAACTAGTTTGATCTTAACCTGAAATCAATATAAATTACAACTTATCTATTGAGTGAACTGAATTCTTTTTTATGGGACAAAGCAGCATTTATCAAATTTTTCACAACTCAGGTGGCTGGGGTTATTTGGGTGTAGTTCTTTCTTGCGAGTGACTTTTAAAATTTTTACTTTTCTAAAAAGTGATGAGAAGGGTAAGTCAGGAGTAAAATAGAAACACTTTTTCATTGGGGTGAGAAAACAGCCTTGCCTTCTAGATCTTTGTGATCTGACTCGAAGAGTGAAGTGGAACCAAAAAAAGACTCAGAAAAATTTTTTATTTTGCATTGAAAACATTGTTTTTTGGGAAAAGAGGTTTCTAAAAATTCAGCTTTTATTCAATAGTGGTCACCTTTACTTTTGCTCCTACATGCACTGGGATGGGGCACTTAAACTAGTAAATATAGTTCCTGTATTTTCTAGAATTAGTCAGCATTGAATACGAACTGTTCTGGCCTTGGACATATCCACTCTTTCACTTGAAGCATTCTACTTTACATCTAAATACAAGATAAAGTAAGCTCCATGCCACCTTAAATGTGAATTGAAAAATAATGGTATTCCAAAGTGTTGGAAGGTGAGGGGGGTGTGGTCAAGGTATTTTCATTACCAGGGCTTGAATTTAATTTTTGGATCACTAACCCTTCAGGCTAGCAGACATCTTTTTAATAACCAAATTATAAAGTTTGGTATCCAAGCTCACAAGTTACGATATCTCAAATATTTGAATGCTCCATTTTAAAATGATGACATCATTGAAATAAAAGATCTAATGAGAGGAATACTTTATAATTAAAACACTAAACTACTAAAAACTAATATTGCTAGTATTAAAATAACAATAAAGCTAATCAGGCTATTTACAATTCAGGAAAAAAGGTCACTATGTAATTTAAACTAAGAATAAAATTAGATGTAATCTTCTGCTTATATTAATGTAAAATTTACAATAAGGCTAGTAACTATTTACTAAAAAAAATAAGGCCAATGGGCTAATTACGAAATTCGTTACAGAAAGGGGTTTACAAATATGAAATTATTTCATAAAAATAGGTCAGCAGCTGTACAATTTACTTTAAAATCATCTACAACTTCACTTCTAAAAAAGGGCTGTCGCAATCCTCTGATGCTAGTATTTACAGACTTTAATATTTTGAAAGAAATCCTGGTCCTGAGCCAGCTAACCCTCAACGGTAACCTTCAACGTTCTTCTCTGCCAATTTCTCCGCTAAATGTTTCATAAACATTTTGCATTCTTTGCCCATCCCGCCGTTGGTTCCAAAAATAAGTAGGGTAAAGGAGCCCATCCCGACTTCTAGCACCCTTTGTTGGTGCTTTCTCTTCTTCTCACTCCTGTTCCTTGAAAATTGCTGCAGTTAATTTCCCCTGGTTAGTCTTGGAGTTGACATGCGCCACTCTAACACTGAAAAATGCTGTCACTCCATGCGACCAGAAGCCATCAGCCTTCACATCCAATCTTACGTCGGAACTTGTTGTGGCTGATCTTAAATTCATCACTTCATTGTCCCATGGCTGGAGGTGAGGCTCCACTTGGACGTTCTTGCATACTTTGCTGAGTGGGGGGGTTAGTAGATTTCTCACTCCACCATGGCATTGAGCCACAAATCCCCCCTTTTTACATGACAAGGTATGGCTTATGTTAAATGGCTCACCACAAGCACAGGTAGACGGTATGTCCTGCAGTGGTAAATTGTACGCCAATCGTAGAGAATCCATAAATTCTTGCTTATTCAATGCCAAACCCTGATCTTTGAGGGGTATGGCATTGAGCCAGGAACTTACACCTTTGTGTCTGGCTTACTGTTTGAGACTCAACAGCTCAGGGTCGAGGGGTGCATCGATACTCTCGATTTTGGACCTTGTATTCTCTGCCTTGAGTGACCACAGGTCTCTCTTTAGTTCCTCTACCAAGTGCTCATTCGTATTCATGATTTCACTTTGAGATTTGATAGACTCGACATGTTGTCTGGTGAAAATTTTTGACGCTGAGTACTGTTGTGGGGCTTCTGTTGTCAAATCAGGTATTCCCAGGCCGCCTTGCATTGGTGTTAGTGTCACAAGTTCACTCAGTTCATCTGGGAGGGGTTCTGCGTGGCCGAATAGGATGGGGAGATACATCTCATCAATGACCTGCTGTACAGGGTCTACCTATTCTTCGAAAGACTCGATAGTTCACATACAGTAAGGGAATTTAGATTTGTATCCCTTGGTGATTACAATATAGGCTGCATGTGGTTGGCTTTTAGCTGTTTCTGATAGTGTTAAAATTTCCCCTTTCCAGCCTTGAACTTTCTCTGCGCAGTACTGATCTTTGTACTCCTTAGATCCTATAACAGCCCCTAGGTGCCTTTTCCCTTCCATTGTGATATTGACTTTGTCACCAAAGACCCGTTTGCTTCATCCGCTAATTCTTGTGACTTCACAATCAGCCAACTCTTTGATCCATTGACCAAGTAGCCATATTTCTTTCCATCCTTGCACAGGTACTTGTACCATTGGTATAAATCTTCTATTCTCCCTCCCCCTGCTGAGTCATCAGCCAGCCAAACTTGTTTAACTCCTGGTACATGCGATCTCAAACTTTGTATCATGATAGATGTGTTAACTGAATACCAGGGCATAGCTAGTGGATCCCCCTGAGTAGTACCTTCCTGTGACAAAATCTCTCCACCACCGCAGACGTATAACCTTGGGGGGCTTTGATAGGTGTTGATTACATACTGAGACATTAATGGACAAGTTATTTGGATGTTATGCAAGGCTACTGCTCTGTTCATCAGATTAAACACGTTAGTCACGTCGATAAGCAAAATTCCATCTGTTTCTTCCTCATCAGAGACTTGGCTCATGGTATGTATGGCAGCCTCGGCTCCCATGCTGTGGCCTGCGCAAACCTGTAGAGGGCCTGCAGTGGACTTGATTTCCTCCTTTAAGAAGATTGCTGTGGTTTTGCCAATAATACGCTGCAGCACTTCACTCACTCCTATTGGTTGAATTCCAGGGTTCTTATCTAGAGGGACAAGCCTACATGACGTGTAGGCTTCTAGTAGGGACGGATAATAGCATGACTTCAACAGGTTCCTGGTCATCACTACAATTTCTTCTCTCAGCAGCTTTCCCTCACCAGCGAAATTCTTAGAACACAGGATTCTGTGGTATAACTCAGCGTCCATTCCTGACAGTCCAGCGGAGCCCTTGGTTTTCAGCGCTGCATCGTAGATCTTTTGCTTATTGATTAGGTCATAGATGCTGGGTGGAATTTGATCTTTTGGGCCATTCAGAAGGCATTCCTTTTGTACTTCAGCAGCTGATGGATGTTTCTTTTTCAGCTCCTCCAAAACTTCTTGTGAAGGCCTTACAAGTACAGTACTACTATCTCGATCCAGAAGTTTGATCACTGCTGTCATTTTCCCTTGCATAACGAGTCTTGCAAAAGTCCTAGTTATGTCCTCAACTGATTTGGCTTTTCTTGAGGACACAAACTTTTCTTGTATAAATCGTACTTCTTTCATTAAGAGATTTAGGTCTCCCTGTTTCCAGAGAGCTAGTCTTCATTCAATCGCTGCACTGTGTTCCTTACTCTTTGACGTGCTTGATGGTTTCTGGAGGATCAGAGATGAAAGCACCATAAATGCTCTTAGTGGGATCAAATTTAGTTACTTCACTTCTGCATAAATTTTCAAGTGCTTCTCTGTTCACCATTGCTGTAGTTATTTCCAAAACTTCTTTTTGGGTCTCTGTCACAGGTAGTCAAACCTCTGTAGTAGGATGCTGCAGCACTACAGTAGGTTGTAATGTTGATTTTCATTCTAGTCGATTTTCTGTGGGGGTATCTTTGTTTTGGCATTTTTCAGAGCTGCACTTACAACTGGGCAAACACGTCTTCCCTGCCAATTTACATGGGCAAACACCACAGCCTTTCTTTCTAGCACATTTCGATTTGCAGTCACAAAATAAATTGATATTAGAGGACTTTATCCATCTGTCTGGTTGCATTACTGCAGTCATTGCTTTCATGTTTTCCTAAACCAGTGCCCTCAAATATTGAACATTTTGTTAATAACAACTAGGACAAATTAAAGAGTGGCTGAAGTTTACTATGATTAGTCAAGAAGAGTACAACTACAGCACATTCTCTACAAACAGTTAAAGTTGATTTAACAACTTGAGTATTCTAAGTATTCCTCTGAAAGTCGGGTGTACATGCTCTTTGTCCTCAAGTCCACCAATGTTGAATAGCTATCTGAGGATCAAATACATCAAGTGGACATCTCTCATCTACTTTATTTGTTTGAGCAGGTTGAATTATGGCAGCTATTTGCTGATGTGGACCTGCTATCTTCCCACCCATCCCAGCCCAGCCCAGCCCAGCCCAGGGGAGGACATCCACCACACAGTAATCCTGTGTGTGGGAAATTAACGTCTCCTACCCCAACCCTGCAGGAGACGGGACCTCCGTTTATTCGTCCTCATCTGAGAAGACTAGAATATCTGGTAACCATTTCTCTATGTTATAGAAAAGGTAGCAAATTCTTCTCAATTATTTTAAGACCTTGAGTGTTGGTCCGGCCGGGGCTCGAACCCTCCACCTCCCGCACAACAGTCCAGTGCACTATCCATTGGGCTAACTGGCCAACCATTAATTGTGAAGGTGTATTCTGATCATCCGGGTGAGTGTAGTCCTGAGAAGGACTGTTGTCGGTGGTAGTGACTGACGTTTCGACAACCTGTGCAGAAGTCATCATCAGAGTCAAGTGAATGATTGTTGTCAGTAGAATGTTCTTATTCCAGTTCGTGTAAAATGATTGGTTGGTTTTGCCGTGATGTTATTGGCTGTAAGACTCAAGTGACGTAAGTCAGTTGTGATTGGTCTGTTTCGATCTGTTGGTAAAGTTAGGTCGTTCTTTTTTGGTCGTTTGTGATGTTTATGTCGTGAATGAGTCGTTTGTATGGAGCAGGTAGTTGTTGACATCTGTTTAGGGGAGTCTGTTCCAAGTTAGTAAACCAGCTCTCCAGAGTCAGTCGTTGAAAATAGTCAGTGCTGTAGGTTAGGCATTGCGCAGAGTCCCAGTCAATGCCTAACCTACAGAGTCCCAGTCAATGCCTAACCTACAGGCATTGCGCAGAGTCCCAGTGCAATGCCTAACCTACAGCACTGACTATTTTCAACGACTGACTCTGGAAAGCTGGTTAACTAACTTAGAACAGACTCCCCTAAACAGATGTCAACAACTACCCACTCCATACAAAGGACTCATTCACAACATAAACATCACAAACGACCGAAAAAGAACGACCTAACTTTACCAACAGATCGAAACAGACCAATCACAACCGACTTACGTCACTTGAGTCTTACAGCCAATAACATCACGGCAAAACCAACCGATCATTGTACACGAACTGGAATAAGAACATTCTACTGACAACAATCATTCACTTGACTCTGATGATGACTTCCGCACAGGTTGTCGAAACATCAGTCACTACCACGGACAACAGTCCTTCTCAGGACTACACTCACCCAGACGATCAGACTACACCTTCACATGTTACCCCTGGGTTCAAGCCATTTACTACAACCATTAATTGTTATTCTTAGCAACATGTTGAGGATGTCTGTCTTGAGACAGGATCTCCAATCATTCTTCACTCTCTTCATTGCTGAAAATCCTCGCTCCACAGTTGCTGTTGCAAGTGGCAGGATGAGTATTATTTCCAGAAGCCTCAAGATATTGGGAAAGTGATCCTTAAAGGCAGTAAACATTCTCTGCCATAAAATGAGGGGATCTAAATGCTTGAAATTGTTTGCAATGACACAAGCCTCCTTTTCTTGATATTTTCCCTCTTCACCACAGTTACTATCTGCTGGAGCCTGCCTTTTTCTGATGAATCTATCCAAAGAACTCTGCATAATTCAATGCTGAACTGCCAGAACCTTGTGAACAGTAATTTTGAAGTGAATATGAATTTGCAACATGGCAGATCCAATAAAGTTGTGTCCAAATCCCCACATTCGATGCAAATTCGCATCCAGGGCTTAGTGCTCAAAATGGCTGTAAAGCTCGAATCAATCTCAAAGACGGCAAGAACAAATTGTTTGAGACAGAAAACAAGCTAATGCAAGTAAATAACGCATAAACCATTCCTAGAACTTATTATTTATTTGTAAAAAGGTTATTTCCATAACATAATATAAATACGTGAGAAAATTTTACTAAGCATGTTGAGTTAGTTGGACACATTTTTAGTAACCAAATGTTGAAAATTACTAACCATTGGTTAATGGATTACCGTTAATTTCGAGCCCTGATTATATTATAATGCTTCTTTTTAACAGGTTCTAACATCGTCAAAGTCTGGGATATATTAGGAGGTGGAAGACTTCTAGCAGGATTCTCAAACCACCAGAAAACCATTACATCTATTTGCTTTGATGGAGATTATAAACGTCTATTGTCTGCATCGCTAGACAGGTTTGGGACTCAGTGTGATGTAATACCATGCATAGAAAACCTTGTCCTGCAATCTATCAATGGCAGCTGTACATGTTGTATAAATAATCATGATATAGATAAGCTGGATGCAGGCATTACATCTCAGTCTGTCTTATTCAAATATGAAATAGAAATATTAATAGTACCTTTTATATTTTAAGTTTGTTTTTTATTAAACACCTCTTTGACCTTTCATTATTGGATCAAAAATTATTTCAGTGAACTTTCAACCTGCAGGGAACAATGAATGGTCATACATAGGGGTTTTAAGAATCAGCCTTACATGTACAAAATCTTGTGAATTGTTTGATTTATTCTCATTAGCTGATTCTTGGACAGGGTAGCTTATGGTATTTTCATCTCCTTTAGGCATGTTAAAATCTATGATGTTCAAGATTATACAGTTTTTCACAGCATGGATTATCCATCACCAATCCTCAGTCTTGCAGTGTCAGTAAGTTGCTGATGGATATTAGTAAGCGTTAACCAGACACCAATCTTAATAATTTGTAATTGAGCCTGGTTCACACTTATAGATGAGCAGGATGCAGTCTACTTTGTACCACTATGCACCCTCTGCAGACCATGATAAAGTGGCAGGACTAGTATTTCTCATTAAACCTTTAGTGTTTTAGGTTAAGGTAGTAAATTTCTTGCTTCTTGTAGTACCTTTTAGAATGAGACATATTAAGCATGTCTGAACAACATGTTGGTTGCACACTTTATTCATTTAACGGGTCTAACTGGCCTATCTGTAAGTGCTTCCAGAAGAAGATACATTGCTGAGTGTAATGGGTCTCTCCTGTCGTAAGCACAGTAGAAAAGTTCTGAGATGTTTTTCAATCTTGTGAGAAGATTTTCTACATGGTGAGATATAAGATAATACTACACCAATCACCAGCCTTTTTCGCTGCAATAAATCATCACAATCTTGTTTTACAAGTTGGGCATGAAAACTGGAATAATGGCCTTTGCCTTTGTTTACAATAGAATGACTATTGTTTTAGCAGTTGTTTTTGCAGTTATGTTTTACTATTGCCTTTATTATTACTTTCTATCCCTGTATGTTTATAATTATAGCCTGACAATACACATGTTGTGACTGGTATGGCAAATGGATTCCTGTCCATAAAATATCGAATGAGACAAGATGTGCAACATGAGGTCCAAACAGCCAATAAGCTTACAGCTGGAACATACTCTTACTTTGTACGTGGCAAAAATTTCCAGCCTGATAAGGTATAATGTTTATGTTTGCACGATTCACATAGTGAACCGGTACGTAAATTGGTGTTTCGTTATATTATAAAAAAAGAACTTGTCTTGCATCATCAAACAGAAGTTAGTGCATAGCTTGCTTTTCTGATAAATCTTTGATTGACCCTCTGACAAAGAACCGATTAAAATTTGAATATGCAGGGAAAGTTCCACCATATCTAATACCTTTAATGGATTTTATTGAAAATAGGTCCTCCTGAAATTTTTACTCAAATGAAATGTTTGGTTACTTCTCGCTCACTACGGTTGAAAGACAGTTCCGCTATCTGCCTCTGTGACTCCAACCTACCAAATTTAAGACCATAGTGATCAAAACCTGAACTCATTCTCAGACCTAAAAGGATGTTTATATATCTCTGTGTAGATGTTGTAGGGGATCCCCAGGGGGTCTGGGGTTTACTATAAATATGGGAAGACAAATTCAGAAGTTTAGGTGAGCTCCTCTTTATCTAGGTATCATTCTATCCAATTTCATATAAATCAATTAATTTGTACACCTTTTAGGGTGATTTTGTCGTGTCCGCACCAAGGAAACACAAGTTGAAGGAACATGACCAATTGTTAAAAAAGTTTCAGTACTCAAAGGCTCTTGATTCAGTTCTGAGGAAGGTTGGTTTAAGATTTTCATTCAACAGGATCTGTGTTATGTAACCGTTGCTTCTTTGAATAATTGAAGCACTCTAAGGCTTTTGATTCAGTGTTTGTCTATTTTCTAATTTTAAAAGTACTCAAGCGTCCAGTTATTTTTAAGTGAGACCTGGTTCCAAGAGACAAAGTGTGATGCACCTGCAGACAAGTTTTTTTACATTCAGTTTAACAATTATATAACGCTTTTTTTTTTTTTCACAGCCTCCCTATAGTCGCACTCCACTTCTAGTCAGTCTTCTCCAAGAGTTGACACGGCGAAAGGGTCTGAAGAGAGCACTGGCTGGGAGGGATGAGGATAGTTTGGTGCCTGTGCTAGAGTTCCTTATAAGGTACTGATACTTTGTGAACAGATTTTGCATCTTAACAGTTATTTGTATGATATTCTTAAGTATGTTACTGACATTTTGACACAGTTGGCCGTATAAAAATCTTCGCACTTTGTGTTTTAAAGTTACTCTACATTGTTCCAAGCGAAGTTATGATGATTTGTTGACGCGAGTTAACCAATGAGAACGCGAGAACGTTTTTAGGAAATATTACGTACTTCATGACCGGTTGAGAGGGCCAGAAGGGAAGATATTTGTCAAAAGGTTATGACACTGGGACCTCGCGTTATGATCGGGAACCAAACATTTTCCCCTTCAGTCGAAACTAACTCAGCTCTGTTTTGTGCCCTCGCATCTTACATTTTTCATATCGCGGGACACTACGCAGGACCGTGTGGATTTTAC